GACGGCATTTCAAGAAAATGTGCAATTATAGAAGGATTTTGCGTGAATGGTGTTGAAATATGAAGGAAAATATAATTTCTCTGCGTCCAATTCGCCTAATACAAGACATATGCTTTTTAAGGTACATCAATCAAAAATGTACTTCTTGTTGTTATTAACGGAAAGGAGGCTAAATGTGATAAAACAAAAAACGAAATGTCTATTACTATAAATATAAATGTTAATGTTAATAAGTAAATAAATTAAATTTGATTTATTATGTTTATTATTTTTTCATTATTCTACTAGTGAAATAAAGTTACATTATTTATTTTATGTAAGATTTCCTTTTTGGTTTTGGTCTTATTCAAAAAGATGTTTCATACAACTGGACACTTCCATTATTTTTTAATCTTTGATCCAATATACTTCTGTCCACGTTAATGTATGTTAGCTATGTGACAAACGGGATTTTCGGTCGCCTCCCTCATCACACCAACCTCAACAAGCTTGGGGGTGTAGACGTTGCGTTGGCCGATTGTCCTCCATCGAAAGCGAGGCAAGCAACTGAAAATGTCAACGATCTAATTTATTTCGCTTTTCTCCACTTATGATACACCCTCGGTACAGCACGGAATTGGAGGCTTTGAAATAAGCCTACTTGAACCAAATATGTTTTGTAGAGACTTTGAGTATGTTACTCCCGTGTCTAGATCGTTGCCTTTTAGACTTCGCCTTGACTAGCATTGGTTTTAAGAGTTTGGGAGTACCTATGGATTTGTAAACTTCAAGGAGTTTGCTGTATCCATTGGGATCATCAGCGTAGGTTGGACAATGCGTGAGGGGTTGGTGGATTTATTGAAATTCTATTGACTACAATAAATAAGTTTGATGTACGTCACTTGATTGGCCAAGTTCCGCTCCTGGTTAATACATTGCAAGACACTAGAGTAGACGTTCGATCACTTTCATTGATGGACCCGCAGTGATCCTATAGCGGAGTCCGCTTTGAGTACAATCGGCCTATCTGCGTTTTGTATGTCCTTGGATTGTAGTTGCCTGGAATGGGTAATGATGAATAAATATTAGTTGACTTGTGTCGAAAACGAACATAATTTGATATGAGAAGTAGCACAGACACCTTCAAAGATATCCATGAATTTTATGCCTTCAGGTTTATACTGTGGACGAACAAAGAAACTATCTCCCGAAGTCACAGGATTAGGAAACATCTTATAAATTATTAGATTAGCGAAATTATGTAGGGATAAGAATGTAATTTGGTTACATGCAGATTCCACAAGTAATCCACGGATCTGCGTGAAGCGAAGTTTAATTTCTTGATAATTACTGAAGTGCTTGAAAACACTGGGTTGGGTGACAGAGAAGAATACGACGCGGTCGTGTAATATTAACCTCATGCACATTAAACGTACTTTGTCTTTGTTAAATTCTTCATGGTGCTGATAATTCGCTTGAGTTGATTCATTGGGTGTAATTGCAGATACTTTAACCTCAACGTTGATTTAGCAACCTATAAAGGGCTATTACGGCGAATAATTTGTTTTGTTTACGAACAGGGAGAATCGTAAATCTATTTTGATTGCAGTTTCCTCCGATCTTAATTTTAAGATATTAAAATATACTGTGAGGCCTAATTTCGAGTACCACTAGAGAATTATACAAGAATTGATTGAGTTTTATGTCAAATAAAAATAATTTAATAATTATTTTGTAACCATTCGATTTGTAATACAACAGTTTTACTTTCAAATTTCATCGTAGGTATAAGGCAACAAGTGGGAGATATCTAGAAGAAAAAGTAACTTTCAAGAGACTACAGCCCTCTTAGAAAGTATTTTTCCTTGTGTTTTTATACATTTTTTTGTCTTATTTGTAATTGTAGATTGTAAAATATTGTACGATAATTTTAATAAATTCTCTGTGTATACAGGGTGTTCATTTTATTTTTCTATTTAAATAACTTATTTCAATTCAATTCAAGCTCAATTGGTTAAAATTTTAATAAATGCGATAGTTATAAACAAATTAAAACATGGGCACTTTTCTGTTTTTTTTGCAATAACTTTTTTGTTTATTTACCGATTTTAATTTAACAAGTCTCATTTTGTAGATAATTTTACTCCCTCTAAGCTGTCTGTGAGTCACTTTTCGCTAAAAATGATGGTTTTCCCTGCAAAGTGAAAAAACTCTTTACCTCACTTATTTGTTTAAATAGAAAAGTTAGCTAATAAAAGTTTTTGACTCACGAGATGAGAGATGTCTTGTATTATGTTCCTTTAGACAATTTTACAATAATCTAGCGGATAGGACTTTTTTCGAGTAAAAATTTTGTTTGCTTGGTCTATTACATTTATCGGCATGAATAAAGAGTACATAATTTTTTTTATATTGTTTCTCCTTTTAATAATGTTTAAATTTCTGTGATGTCCAGCATGAGAAAAAAGTTATGAACAACTAAATTTTGAGTTCTAGCGGCGCATAATGAAAGTTTTCTCTGACTTGTCCAATAGAGCTTGATCTACTTAGTGGGTGTGCCAAATGTGAGACTAATCGAACTCGAATTAAATAAGTTATTTAAATAGAAAAATTAAAAAAAATAAAATTTGACAAGCTATAACTTGCAAACAATTGACAATTCGAAAAAAATTTCATTACATACTGCTATTATTTTATTCCGTAGAATTACCTCCAGTAGTTTCCTAACGGACTTTCGGAACACCCTGTATAATGCTCAAGTTATATTTTTCATTATAATTTTGTAGTGTCAAAACACGTAATGGGAAAAACAATTGGACACCATGTTAAAAATTTGTGATTATTTAACTCATAACATGTAAAAAATAGATAAAATTCTACTCGATAAGAATAATCTTAGCAGGGAACAAGAATTACTACTCCTGAGACACGTTAAAAAAAGTGATATTCATATATTTCATCAATTTCGACAGTTACTATTATTTTGTCACCAATTTATAAATTATTACAAATAATTTTAGTACTACAACTACAGTATAATCTACTCAAATGAGAATTATTCATTGTACACACGAAATGAAATTGAGTTTTGATATATGATTTTAGAATAAATAAAATGAGTTTTTGCTCTATGTCAAAATTTCGATATATTCGATATATGTATATATTTAATTTTTTTTCAAGATTAGTAGTAGATTTATTCGATATATATGTAAATTGGAAGAAATATATTATTTTTATCAAAGTGTTGACACACAATGTTGGTAATAAAGTCAGAGCAAAATGAGACGGAAGGTTGCAAATGCTTTTCAAAAAGACATTTAATTCGGAGCCATATAGACGATGTCATAATATTGTGACCTGAGGGGTTATTTCTTTAATTATATATCTACCGTTGTGACCAGTATCACAACGAGTCTGGATTTCAAAAGAGTTTATTATTTAATTCTCGAAAGGGAGTTTATAATTATCATTATACTTTAATTAATACGTGGGAACTTAGAAATGTTGTATGTTCAGAGAATGAATTTCAAGCACTTACCCTCTATTGCTTATGTAGAATGTAATCCAGTGGCTGGCTATATACAGGGTGACACTGAAGTTGAGAGAAACAAAAAGAAACAGCAAAACTTTCAGCATGGGTTTTAATAACAATAAATACAAAACAAATAACCAAACTACACAACGGCTCGAAAAACATTATTAATTACTTTCTTTACACGCGACAACGTACCGAGATTCAGGGAATGCGCGATCCATAGCAAAATTTGGAATTACTTTATCCATTATTAAATTGAATTAATTAGCCCGAGACTCTAAAACTAAGTCGACTGCTCAATGTGGAACATAAGGAAGAACTGACTTTTTTCGTAGATCTCTCCTGAATTCGACACTTCGCTTCGACACGCCCATTTCTTTGGTCCAGACGTTTCTATTCTTATCTTACTGGCGGGAACCCTGGATATCGGGACTCTTTGGCATAACTATGCCATGTTAATAGTTATCTAAGTAATTTTGAGACTAAACTTACAAATAACCCCAACCTTCCTCTAGGGACTCCGTGTAGCGATACGGGACGGATTAGTCGATCTTATTTAATATATCCTTATAGCTTGGAAAATCCGCCAAAAAAAAACAGCTATTTGATCTGTTACTTTCTTTTCCAATTACTATCAATTTAACAAATTGATTTGATTCTACTTTGGAACCTCTACGCTCTTCTCGTGATTTCGCGCGTTATTAAAAATATCGATTTTTCTCTTTATACCGGCTCAACACAAGGCCCCGACTCTAAGTGAACTTGTCCAAAAAATATTGCTAAATTTCGTGAAGCCTTCCCCGAAGGACGGTCTTGGCGACGTTAAGCCTACTTGAAAACCAGTAACTTTCCAATAAATTAGTGTTGACTGAAATATTTTAATTTTTGGCCCATCCGTTCCGAGAACTAATAAATAAATTACTACGCGTCTCGGCTTTTGTTACAATGTCACTACTAACTTCTATAATTTTTTTCCCAATGTTCCTAATAACAGAAATATTTTCATCTTACCGAAATTAATGAAGAGTACTTTTTCAAAAGAAAATGTTAATATTATCTAAAAATAATATTTTTAGTTCAAAATCATGTGTAAAACTTTTGAAAAAATATGCAAGTTTGTTTCTACAAACCTTGTAATAGTAGCAAACCAATTTTAACATCAAATCACGCATACTTATTTGTAATTTATTGCGTTAAAAATTTTATCGAAATAAACTTACAAGGTGGATTTAAAGTTAGAACCCAAATCTTAAATTATTACGTATCTACATGTTTGGGGTTCGATCTCCGTTAGGGGCATCATTAGAAAAAAACAAGTGTTAATTGGACGTCTATACTTGAGGGTCCTGAGAGCAGATGCTTACCGCACACCCTGTATTTTTTAACCCTGCAGTTAGTAATAGGCTTTTAACGTAGTAGGCTTATGGGCAATACTTCCTGAAATCTGATTTGAATCTAAAAAGGTACTGATATATCCTCTTAGATGCCAATGCAATCTTTTCTGGATTACAGCAAAGACGTCCGCCTACCGATCCAGCTACAGCGAGCCATGGCAGCCGAAGCCGAGGCAGCCAGAGAAGCTCGTGCTAAGGTAATCGCCGCCGAGGGTGAACAAAAGGCCTCCAGAGCTCTGCGAGAAGCTTCTGAAGTGATCGGCGATTCCCCGGCAGCTTTACAGCTCCGCTATTTGCAGGTACTTTATTACTTTCTTTCAATCCCTGTTGCACTTCTGACTGGCATGCCGGCTTTTGAGATTCTCCGAATACATTCCTGCTACCGCCGCTTTCATTCAATATGGTGTATGTTACTTTATTATACTTGCAAATTTTAGATTTCGTATTCACACATCAGTCTGAACGTGGTTAACTAAAATAAAAAAATAACGTTGACAACATTTTTCCTGCATAAATAAGTTCGTGGTAAACTATTTCTTTCAAATAGAGGAACTTCGAAAAAGAAATTCATGGTTTTCAGATCTGGTCATCTCCACCTCCACCTCTCAGAAATTTTTCATCTAGGAAAATTTAACTTCAAATATTGAAAATACAAAGCTGAATTAATTAATTAATTAATTAATTAATTGTAAGTTGGCTAGCGATAAGAATTTAATTGAATGTTTTCGAAGATCTCAGGTGAAGGTTGTAACATTTGTACCCTTTGACATTGGTATGGATAAAACTGTTCCTGTCTTATCGTGTTCGTTACTTTACAGTGAACCACCCCAACTTGAATTGATATGAATTCATTGTTAGATTATTTTCGACTTATTCCAGATATATGCGATTTTGGATAAAATTATTAGGCCACTCATTATAGCTTTTTTTCGGGGAAAAATACTATTAGAAGTTTTTTTGCGGAATATTGTTTAGAAACGTGTTATAAACAAAATATCAAAAGATCAACTCTAGACTAGTTGGGAAAGTTTGTTGAAACAATGGTCAAAGTTATGGAAAAGTGGTTTTTTGACTCGCGTAAAAAAACTGTTATTCATAGAGAAAAAAGGTTTATATAAAAAAGGTAGGTATTAGATAAATCTGTAAAATAAGACAAGTCTGATTAAATTCCGATAATTTGTTTATGCGCAAGAGCTCAAAAATGGTCGAAAACGGCCGTTTTTTTAAATTGCTAATAATTAATGCAATTTTCATCACAGGCACTTGTAATTCAGGATGTTTGAAGGTCTTTGCATCCTTAATAAGTGGTAAAAATTTCAGCCCGAAAACTTCATTAGTTTGGCGTTGGCGGAATTTGTTATCTAAGATGCTATTTTCAATTGATTTTTCCTAAGCTCAAAGGCGTTGTAGAGTTTCAATCATTCATTGTTTTTGCACCTAAATAGTTGTTTTGACATATGTATTTACTGAGAATTTAATTATTCAAATTTAATTTGTTTAAAAATGACTAGTATATAGTTTAGTTAGTACTATTTTTCTTCGAATTAAAAAAAAATCATTGTTCTAAGTTGAGTAGAAGCTGAGACATTTTTTTTATTTAATCGCAGTGTTCTTAATTGTTAAGAGCCGAAATTTGGAGAGATTATACATTAAGAGCTATATTTTTACGTCCTACATTAACATTAAGGTGAATTCAACTATTTAATTACAAAGAAGAAGATAGCGGCGATGCGTTCTATTACTCGGTCTAGCGAACGAGTGGGAAGAGCGAGGCTAAATAAAAAATTAAATCTCGGGTTGAAATAATGTTAATACAATAGCTTCAATGCTCATGAATTTTCGCGCTACCACAAATTAAAAAAATAATCATCTCGATAGGTTCATTATTAACCGAGATATGGCTAATTTTTCCAGCTCCATCGATTTGAAGCCGCTCGATCATTTTCCTGCGCGCAACCAGGCGCGTAGCGCGCATGCTCCGCCTCGCTCTCCCCACGCGTTCGCTAGACCGAGTAATAGAACGCATCGCCGCTATCTTCTTTTTTGCAATTAAATAGTTGAATTCACCTTAATGTTAATGTAGGACATGAAAATATAGCTCTTAATGTATACTCTCTCCAAATTTCGGCTCTTAATATTAATAATTAAGGTCACTGCGATTAAATAAAAAAAAAAAATATCTAAGCTTCTAATCAACTTACAACAACGATTTTTTTTTAAATTCGAAGAAAACTAAAGTAAAGAGGTTACTATTTTATTTTATAATAATTACCTATCTTAACAATTCAATAAATATTAACATTTTTTCAGTAATTTTTAAACAAATTAAATTTGAAAAATTAAATTCTCAGTAAATGCATATGTTAATACAACTATTTAGGTACATAAACAACTAATGATCGAAACTATACAACGCCTTTGAGCTTGGGAAAAATGAATTGAAAATAGCATCTTCTTAGATAACAAATTCCGCCAACGCCAAACCAAGGAAGCTTTCGGGTTGAAATTGTTACCACTTATGAGTGTAAAAAGTCTCAAAAATCCTGAATTCAAGTGTCTGCGATGAAAATTGCATTAATTATTAGCAATTTAAAAAAACGGCCGTTTTCGACCATTTTTGAGCTCTTGCGCATAAACAAATTATCGGAATTTAATCGGACTTGTCTCATTTTATAGGCTTATTTAATGCCTACCTTTTTTGTGTAAACTTTTTTTGCTATGAATAATAGTTTTTTTACGCGAGTCAAAAAACTACTTTTCCATAACTTTGACCATTGTTTAAACAAAGTTTCCCAACTAGCCTCGAGTTGATCTTTTGATATATTGTTTATAATATGTTTCCGGACAATATTCCGCAGAGAAACTTCTAATAGCATTTTTTTCCCGAAACAGGTTGTTTCATGTTTATAATGACTGGACTACATCTTATATTACGAGTTCCACATCGTGTTAAAAATTCCTAAATTTGGAGAACACTCATCATTTTAGATGATTTAAGAAGCATCCCGTATATTTCCGATTTTGTATCAGACGTACTTATTGGTTTGTTTCACTTTCTTGATGTTTGCTAAAAGTTTTTCTTGGTTCCTTTGTGTCTAAAAGAACCTTCCTAGTGTAATCCTCTATGCTAATACGTCTTCCAGTCCCTTTGGCGATTTAAGCGCGTTATATCTATTCCGCCATCTGTCGCAAATGCAGCCGTTGACCTATAAAAACAATTTCCTGCGTATAAGTAGGGGTCTGGTGAATTTAAATTATGTACGACACTCGTCTTAGAGATATATTCACAGAAGTGTGATATCATCGTTACGAATTTCCATGAAGCAAATATTACAAACAAAAACAAAATCCAATTCACAAAGTGTTAACAGCTATGATTTGATAAATTTTCGGGGATTTCTCACATCGAAGTATATACAAATAAAAAAGACTACTATTTCCTTCTAAGATGCTCCCTAAGAGTAGATTTTTAATAGTTATTCATGAACAGTTGATACAGACATTCATTCTCACGGAGAAGGTAGTTATTTATATGTAAATTTTGAACAAAATCTATTGCTGCTGATGTCAGAGAGATTCTTCTTGCACAGTTACAGTTAGACATACTTTTTCTAACTGAAATAATAATAACAACATTTTAAGATTCTTCTTTCAGCTTTATCTATATACTTTACTGCGAAAGAATCATGCATTCTGTAAAAATCTATCTATTTAAGTTCGGCCTAGAGTGCTATGTTTATACATTTGTTTCATGATGTTTCTTAGGCAATTATTTTTCGTTAGAGTTTTCTTTCATGTTTTTGCTGGTGTATCTTGTTTCATTGCCCTCGATGGTATTTCAAAACTAGATGGTATTTCAAAACTTGGTAATATTTATCATGTCAGCTTTCCGAATTGTGTAACTATCCCATTTCCATCTCGTATTTCTAATTTCTTTGCTTATGTGGTCTTGCTGCGTTCTCCTCCAGAATTCTTCGTTCAGAATCCTGTTTGACTAGAATATTCTCAATATTTTTTCTAGATTTCATATCTATACTTTTAACAAGATAGATGTTTTGCCTTGTTGTAGTTTTCCATGATCCATTCTATCGGAATAATAAATATCTTATTAATCAATTGGGAAGTTTTAACGTCGCAATCTATCCCCCATTATTTAAATTCTAAAGAATGTACAAATCTGAATCTATTCTTTTTAATTTTTCTCACATTCCCAAAAATAATGGTACTTATTGCTCAAACGAGCATAAGGTTCTAAGTACTAGGAAATGTCATTGTTGTCAAATCAAATAATTATATATCAAATTCTTTCATTATCTATAATTTCTTACATTTTAAGACCATTAAATTATGTACTTGTCTAATAGTAATGTGCTCTGATACACGAACTATTTCAAATCGATAAACTTTATTTGTCGTTATACAAAAATGTCAAACATAAATCTATTGTGGCAACTTTTGACATGAAAATAATGCGAATATAATTACCGTCCATTATTTTTTTATTGAAGTTTAACCTAAATGATAGTAAACAGCATTAGAATAGAAATATACTTTTTTGTGTGATTTTATGAGAAATCACCTCTACTATGACCTGTTAGAATATTAACAGATAAAATAACATACACCATATTCCTGCTGAATCTTTCTGCACGTACTCTTATCCTTTTCACATATATTTCTTTTAACATGACAAAGTAGGCAAATTCATTAAATAAAAGGTTTGATGACTTAGTATTGATGACAGTTAGTTGTCTTTGAGTTCTAATTTCATCATTATCAGTTTAACTTAGATCTTATACATAGTCTAGTAATTAGCTCCTGGGTTGAAATTTTGTACATATTTACGTATGGAAACCCTATAAAGAATCGTTAAACCCTATTGATAATTTCTTTTTCCTTAAACTGCGTAGATAAATGCTTCAGCTTTTCTGCAATGTTATTACGTAAAAAGCTAGAACATGAAAGTTCGTTGTGCGCTAAAATCTGTTTTACGTACACAAATAAGTTTGCTCCGCCCACAAGCGCGTATTGGCTACGACAAGGGAAACGCTTCTACCCCAAATCGTCGCATCTACTTCTTATTCTTTCTAGCCGATTGCGTTCTTTTTCAATCTCGCGCAGTCAGAAACTCAAACTTATTTGTGCCTATCTGTACTTTAATTAGTGCTTTAGCATATATCCCTTTAGGCGCATATATTGCGTTATATTGCAAGGAACTACTTTGAAGATACCATTCTTTACGAAATTAGTATATAAACCACTTAGACTAAGAGCCTGCGATACATTTTGCAAATTAAAA